CTCAGGGAGCTGTGTGTGTGTGTGGTTGTCCTCCCTGGGGTGAACCCGGGCTTACTCACCTTATTGTCGGCACTGATGAGGAGGGGCTGGACTTTGATGCTGTCATTGACCACAGACACAGTGGTGCTGGGGGCAATGGCGGCGGCATTGCCGGGGGAGGTGGAGATGATGGCGTAGGCCACACCAGCGCTGCTCAGAGGAGAGGTGAGGGTGGCGGGCTCGGCGCGGGCCTGAGGCTGACTGCTGGCTGCTGGCCCATGGCTGACGGTGTTGTTGGCTGTGGGGAGGGCTGGGCTGGGGTTCTTGACACTGACCACAGTGGCCTTCTGGAATGTTGGGGGCTGCTTGGGGGGTCGGTCCCGGCCCGGAGTGACGGGGAGGCTGTCTGGAATCAGAGTCTTTGGCCTAACCTGGGGAGCGGGACAGATGCAGGGTCAGATGAACAGACAGAGAGACTGGTGATGACTGGGCAGGTGCACAGAGGACAGCCTTGAGTAGTGGTGGTGAGGGGACTCTTCCACACTGGATCCTTTGACACATGGCCTCCATGGCTTGGGCTGCCCTGACTGTTCCTGGGACTCAAGAGGGAACTGCTATGACCGAGACTCTCCCAGTCCCCTGAAGGGGGAACAGGAGGAATTCTGTGGGGAGTATTAGCGGAGCTAGAGGCAGTTACCCAGGAGTATTTTTGGGTTATGCTAATATATACCAAGATAGGGTGGGTCCTAACCCTAAGCACACCTGTTTACAATGTTACTCTTGATGGTGGTTTGGGTTTCCATTCAAGGGTTCATTCACACTTAGAGCCCTGACACTGGTTGCCTCTCCACAATGCAACTGCACTCTTACCATCTCCTCCTGGGGTTCCTGTTCCCACGTCTTCCTTTGCCCTTCCTGCCTTTCTCCCCGGGTACATGCCACCCTCTCCATCTCCCGGTGGACTGCTGAAGTGAGTGCCACCTCCCTGGCCTGCCTGTCATTTGGCTGAAAGCTGAGCTACCGGCTACGTGCAGCTCCAGGCCTAAAGGGTGACTAAGGGCCAGATTCTCGGAGGCCCCACTGGTCTGTCTAACCAGAGCGCCAGGTCATTTTAAGGATTCTGAGTTTTGCTGTACATTTTTCTCCCACTGGATCCAAGCCCTTCTCATGGATTCCCCCTCTCAGAGCAAGCAGGCAGTGGGAGCCGGGCTCCATCGGAGCTTTCAAAAGAGCAGATTGCTCACAGGAGCGACAGACATAAGGGGAGGGCAAGGGGGCGCACCCCTTGAGGATGGCTAAGAACCAGGACAGCCCGGGACTGCTGACCACAGAGGACTGTCCAGAACCAGGACCCTGAGTTAGACTTTAGTCCCCAGAATCTTGAGACAGTACCTGCCGGTCCCTGTCTGTCCCAGCAGCTCACGGGGCCCACAGACAGCCAGCCGGCCCGACCCCGGCAGCTTACCTGAGGTAGCACCGCAGCTCCCTGCCCGGCCAGCCTCTGCAAGGAGCTGACCTGGGGACCCGTCACAGGCACTGCAGTGGACGACACCAAAGCCTGCAAGACAGAGGGCTTCGGCTCAGCCGGGCGGCGGGGCAGGGGTAGGGATAGCACCGCCCCCAGACCCTCTCCCACTGTGGCTTCTCACTTCCCAAACACAATGTCAGGAAACAGGGGGAGACAAGCTCAGAACCCCCCAACCACCATCCTCACCATCTTTAACAAACAAACTACCATTCTCTGGCACAGAGTAACTTCTTTTATATATATATCTCGCTTTAGTTAACGTTTACCTATAGGAGCCCTGGTGGTGTCGTGGTTATGCATGGGGCTGCAAACCACAAGGTCAGCAGTTTGAAACCACCAGCCTCTCAGAGGGAGAAAGAGGAGGCTTCTCAGAAACCCACAGGGGCAGTTCTACCCTGTCCTGGTGGGGGTTGTTGTGAGCCAGCATCCACTCGAGTTTAACATTACATATTCTTATAGAGGTTTTTAAGTTGTATCTGATTAAAATATATATATATATAAAGCCCCTTTGCATGCGGAACGGGTGAAGGTTTTACAGAGCAGA